GTTGCTGACTGGAAGAATGACTGGATGGAGAGGCGCAGTGTGGTTTCTAGTCAGCATTAGAGGCCATTTGAGGTTAGTGGTCATACATTTGAAGTCAGGTCAGTCAGCCCAGTTCTGGATTTTTCTATAGCCACTGTTTAGCTGGGTCAGGACAGGCGCACAGTTGGTGAAGAACCAGGGTTGTGATTTAGTCAAACGAGGATGCTGAAGCTGGAGGGAAGCAAGGGAGTGATCATGGCCACCGTGGAATTTAAGATGGAAAGGAAGGAGATAAAGACATAGGAGGGGGATGAGGGACAGTGAAAGCTCTGTCTTGTGGAAAGGGGAGAAGCACTGAGCCTGAGTCCCAGGTGAATTTCAATTCCACCACTAATGAGCCCCCACGTGACCTTGGGCAAACCGGGCAAGAGGCTTCCATTTCCTTTTCTTTCTCAAGGAAATGGAGGCCCCGCCTTGCCTACCTCACAAAGCTGTTGAGGGACTCAAAGGAGATAAGGGGTGTAGCCACCTCAAGAGCCACAAAATGGGATACAAATGTGAAAGATTAACATTTGTATTTCAGAAGTTTGCCTAAGGCCATAGGGAGACTCCTGTGGGGAAATAAGGCCAAGTGATGCCCGCAGCCACTTGCTTAGAATGGGGAGAGACCATGACAAGTAGCCCTGAGCCCCTGCTCCTCATCGTGCTTTCCCTGTGGAGAATAACAGCAATTCTAGACTAAGCACTCTTAGTTTATATGGTTTCATCCTCACCATACTACCTTTCCCCATTCTACAGATACACAAACTGAGGTGGGAAAAGAACTTAAATGCCAGAGCTGGCCCTAAGACTGAGCTCTAATTCCTATGTTCCTATAATAGCCTGAGTTTGCACCCCGAAGGCCCTGAGGCTTGATCTCTTGCCCTAGGACTTGTTATTTCCAGTTTAGTGCACTCTTCTTAGTGCCACTCACATTCCACTTCCAGTCCTCACCCACCCTAGGGGTGGCCTTGCAGCTGGAGCTCAGGGGCTTTGATTTCTGAATCCTCTCCCACCTGCGAGAGACCGCTGAGCCACCAGGAAATGGGATTGTGTGCCTGAGTGCAGACACTGTGTACCTGTGTGGGGTGACCAGCCGAACCCCTCCTCTAGCCACCCCACCTTGCTGCCCTGTTTGAGCCCAGGCCCAGCGCTTGGTAACCAGGTCAACAGGCCTGTCCTCCTGGGGCCGTTTCTGACTACATTTTCCCCACTGAGAGATGATCGGAGAGTATAAGGAGGCCAGTGGCTGTGGGTCTCTCACAGACCCATATCTACCTCTCATCGAGCAGCAGACAGACAGACAGACAACCCAAGCCAGCCCCCAGCCAAGCAGCATGGTGAGCAGGGGTGGGGGGCTGAACATGCTAGTGAGGGTCCTAGTGCACCCCAGTGGGTGGTGTGAGGGATCCTTGGGAAGTCCAAGTGTTCCAGGGGCTAGTGTGTGGGCATGTGAGGTGGGGAGAGGGAAAGAGACTTCCAGACGTGAGTGTGGCCCCCCAATTGTGCCGGTATGTGAGAGCACATGCAAGGGTGGAGGACAGGGTGATGTAACCAGGATGTGGCTGCTGAGGGGTTCTGGATTTAGGGGTAAGGAGTATGGAGTAAGCAGGACTGGAGCAGGAAATACAGGCATTTTACAAACCCTGGGCCCCACAGCAGATTCACCCTTGGCCTCTGGTCTTACCTCCCAGCTGTGGGCAAGCATCCTCACAGCCCTGTCCAGCTGATGCATCTGATCTGACCTCTTATTTCAATAGAGACAGTGAAGAGGTGGCGGGGAAGGGAGGGTGCGCCCTCTTATCGAGACCTGGCTGTGCGTGGGGCTCATTTGATATCATTTGCCAGGCTCCCCACCAGGAGGGATAGAAGAGCAGTGAAGAGCATGGTTGGAGCCAAGCTCCCACTCTGAATATTACTGGTTTTGCTCATGACCTTCAGCTAGTTGCTTAAGCTCTCTGTGGGTCAGTTTCCTCATGTGCAAATCGGCATCATGAAACTACCTACCTATGGGGTTGTCATGAAGATGAAATGTATAATAATGTATGTGGAGTGCTTAGCACAGTGCCTGGCCCCTAATTAATGCTTAGCACAGGGGAACTAAATGATATAATGACAAAGCCCGCCACATACGAGATCATACTATTTTTACAATCAAGGAAAGGGCACTAGAGCAGCTAAAGAGAAGTAACTTGTCTGAGGTCATAGAGGGATGGGGGTTCATCCTAAATCTATGTGATTCCAGGGGTTGAGTTCTTTGCCTCAAACCTGTTGCCCCACAGCATCATTTCTAGCATCTCAAGTATACCCAAGAGGTCAGAGATGCCTTGCGTGGGCTGGCAGTCATGGGCGCCAAGATGGTGTCTGGCTTTGTAGACAGAGCCTGGGCAGGCTTGAAGTTACAACAGCCAGCGCTGGCCTTGCCAGTGGACTGGTAAGCCCTGTCAGTCCTCCCTGTGGGATACAGGGATTTCTGGAGTCCTTGTGTCCCTGAACACCCCCCAGCTTAATTCATTACCTTCTCTTACTATGACAGCACGGTTGGGGGATGGGAGTTGGTAAGGGGACCCAACAGGTATGGTACCCCCAATATGTGTCATGCAGTGAGCCAGGTAACTTATATGCCTTCTTTCATTTAATCCCCATCGTAATTCTAGGAGGGGGCTCTTATTTGCCCCAGTTCATGGGATGGAGGGAGGCCCACAGAGGTTAATACTCTTGCTCAAGGCAAGTAGAGAAGTAATGACGATGTATGATTTAATCCCAGTCATCTCAAAATCATAAGTCAAGGCCCTTGCATCATATTTAAAAAGTCAGGCAACTGTTAAATTTATGGAGAAAGTATCCTCATTAAAAATTATGAAATATTCCAGGCAGGAAAGTGTAAAGAATAATATAATAAACACCTGCTACCCAGCTTAAGAAATAGAATCTCTCGGGGCGCCTGGGTGGTTCAGTTGGTTGGGCGGCTGCCTTCGGCTCGGGTCATGATCCTGGAGTCCCTGGATCGAGTCCCGCATCGGGCTCCCTGCTCGGCGGGGAGCCTGCTTCTCCCTCTGACCCTCCCCCCTCTCATGAGCTCTCTCTCTCTCTCTCATTCTGTCTCAAATAAATAAATAAAATCTTTAAAAAAAATATTAAAAGAAATAGAATCTCTCTCCAACTGCATGCACCTCCGTCTTCTACCAGAGAGAACCTTTGTTCCAAATTAGTGTTAATATTTTCACTTGCTCTCCTTATTTTTGTAATACACATGCACTACAAGAATATATAGCAAAATATAAATATATCCGTAAATGACGCACAGCATTGTTTTACGAGCTAAAGATTTTTATAAATGGTATCATTTTGTATGATTCTTCCCTAATTTGCTTTTCTTTTTCCCCGTAAAAATTTTTTGGTAAGATTATTTCTTTTTTGTTGTTGTTGGGGTTTTTTCTTTTCTTTTCTTTTCTTTTTTTTTGTTGGGTTTTTTTCTTTTTTTAAAGTTTTATTTAGTTGACGGACAGAGACAGCAAGAGAGGGAACACAAGCAGGGGGAGTGGGAGAGGGAGAAGCAGGCCTCCCACTGAGCATGGAGCCCAATGTGGGGCTCGATCCCAGGATGCTGGGATCATGACCTGAGCCGAAGGCAGACGCTTAACGACTGAGCCACCCAGGCACCCTGGTAAGATCCTTTCTTGTAGTTCATCCATTTCTACTTCTGAATCATTCTTCATCCATTTTCTCCTGTTGAAGGACATTTAATTGGTTTCTGTTGCTATGGTGCTGTGAGTCTTCTTGCACCTGTTCTTGTTTACCTGTGTGAGAACTTCTCTAGAGCAAGAGTGTCATCAGCTCTCCTAGATCTTGCCCAATTTTTCTCCAAAAGAGATGCATCAATTTAGGCTTCTACCAACTGCCTAAGGAGTCCCATTTCTCCACATCCTCCACATGGTTAAGCCTTGAAGCTTGGGGAAACCTGATGGATGTGCTCATTTTGTTTTCAAGGTCTGGGGTAATTCTCAAGCAGAGCAAGAAGGCCTACTCTGGTATCCCACTTACCATGCTGTCCCACCCCTATTAACATATGAAAGTCTCCCTTCCCTGCCCAGTGGGCTACTGGAGGGCAGGGACTGTGCTTTGGGTGCTATGTATCTCCAGTGTCAGCACAACGTCAGGCACAGAGCAGAGGCTCAGAGTGTTGGATGAAGCAAGAGTGTCCAACCTTCTTGATTCTCATGGGGCTCCCCAGGAAGGGCGTGGACCTTTCTGATTTCCAGGACCAGGTAGTTTATCCCAGTACTGCTTTAGGGGCCAAACGGTCTTTGACCACCAGCCTTGAATCATGTAGGGAAGACCTTTTTCCCAGCCCCACTCCACTCTACTCCAGAATTATGCACACCCAAGAGAGGAAAGAACAGCATACCCCCTACCATTCCAGGCCCACTCTTCCCTTCCTTGCTGGCATTTCTAGCCAGCGAATCTAGAGTTATTCCTGCTTTCAAAACCTCTCCCTTGTCTCAGATCCCTGAAACCTCACTTGGATCTTACTTTGCTCACCCATGGCCCTTCATTTCTTTCTGAACACGGGTGGGTTGACTATCATGTTTTGCCAGGCTCATCTGATCCCCTCAACACTTCTTAAGACGCTTAGTCACTGAGACTAAGACTCTATAATCTTAAAACTGCCCACATCTGCTTCCTCTGAGGATTTTGGCCCAGCCCCCGGAGCCACTGCCTGTGGATCCTCAAGGCCACAAGTAATTCCTTAGACACAGGAGGTGGGGCAAGGAGGGCAGCAACCTTTGCTCTCAGCCAGAGAACCACTCAAGAAAGGATTGCAGGCAGCAACCGTGTCCAGGCATGACAGGCTTCTCTTTGCTAAGAGTGTTCTCTGCACTTTGCCTACTCAGCATGAGTGCTTCTCAGTGCATGTGGGGCAGGCCAATGTGCAAACTGGCAATGCCTGCTGGGAGCTCTACTGCTTGGAACATGGGGTCCAACCAGATGGACAGATGCCTAGTGATAAGACCATTGGTGAAGGGGACGACTCCTTCAACACCTTCTTTAGTGAAACTGGGGCTGGGAAGCATGTGCCCCAGGCCGTGTTTGTGGACCTGGAGCCCACTGTGATTGGTGAGTGATGATCAGTCTCTGTCACATATGTCACCTTGTCTTGGGCACCACAGCCCATCCTTCCCCATACCTGGGGCACTAGAATTTGTAGTTGCCAGGAGTAGTAGCCAATTAAATCACAGATCTGCTGCCCTAAGCTCCAGAGTCTCAGGGTAGCTCTATATCCCTTTCCTTTTTATTGAAGAATACTAAAAGTCAAGGGCCATAACACCAGCATGAATGGGGCTCCTCTAGGGTAGGACTAGGGGCCTGGTGGCCCCGCCCTTTCTGGTTAACTTGGGGAGCCAGGCTGCAAGGGGAGGGGGGGTGCGTAAAACTCTGCCCATTGCAAATGAAATTCGGACGGGCATGTACCAGCAGCTCTTCTATCCAGAGCAGTTCATTGCTGGCAAGGAAGACGCTGCCAATAACTATGCCCAGGGTCACTACACCATTGGAAAGGAGCTCATCGACCTGGTACTGGACTGAATTCAGAAGCTGGTGAGTGGTGGTGGCTGAGGGCTGGGGAAGGGGGAATCTGGATTCCTTCAGCTAAGAAGTCTGGACACCAGACAGGAAGAGAGCCTCCTGGGTGAGTTTTATTTTACTTTATTTTATTTGTGGATGAGTTTTAAAGATGCAGGGTCAGGACCAGTGAGGAGGGGCCCTGCATACTGATCAAGGGAGGCAGAGTGTGCACTCTGGCCTGGAGTTGGGTGTCCTCTTTACCTCCTATAGCAACTGGTCCAAGGCTGGGCAGAGTGGCCCCCAGGGCAAACATGACCATGGGCTGTCTGGCCAAGCTGTGGAGGTCCATAGGGATTCCCAGAATATCACCTTGTGTTGCAGGGATGTGGGCAGAAGGCCCTGTGAAAAACAGGGATCCAAATAGTCCTGACCCAAGGCTCTATGATCAAATTTGGCCTCTACCAAGGATGGGGATCAGGTTCCTGGATTGTTGACCTCAGTAGGGAACATGAAACATGTGAAATTAAGTCAGGGGTAAGCAGGTATGGAGCTGGGCGGGTTATGATGTTATGAGGACAAAAATGACTATGTCATGAGATTCTAGAGAGCTGTGTGTTAGAGACTTCAGGAGGGTTTAGAGAGGAGGAGAACAAGAGGAGAGAGAATGGGCCTGCTTTGTGCTCTTGGAAAAGTCTTCCAAGGATTTAATGAAAGTTTTGGGGAATTTGAAACAGCTGGTTTTTTCCTTTTCCTCAGCTGTGCTTCATATCCCACATTTCCCTTCACCTTCCACTTTCTAGGCCGACCAGTGCACGGGACTCCAGGGCTTCCTGGTGTTCCACAGCTTCGGAGGGGGCACCGGCTCTGGCTTCACCTCACTCCTGATGGAGCGGCTCTCCGTTGACTATGGCAAGAAATCCAAGCTGGAGTTCTCCATCTACCCCGCCCCCCAGGTGTCCACAGCCGTGGTGGAGCCTTACAACTCCATCCTGACCACCCACACCACCCTGGAGCACTCGGACTGTGCCTTCATGGTGGACAACGAGGCCATCTATGACATCTGCCGCCGCAACCTGGACATCGAGCGCCCCACCTACACCAACCTCAACCGGCTCATCAGCCAGATCGTGTCCTCCATCACGGCCTCCCTGCGCTTCGACGGGGCCCTCAACGTGGACCTGACGGAGTTCCAGACCAACCTGGTGCCCTACCCTCGCATCCACTTCCCCCTGGCCACCTACGCGCCAGTCATCTCTGCGGAGAAGGCCTACCACGAGCAGCTGTCGGTGGCCGAGATCACCAACGCCTGCTTCGAGCCTGCCAACCAGATGGTGAAGTGTGACCCCCGTCACGGCAAGTACATGGCCACCATCGCCGCCATCAAGACCAAGCGCAGTATTCAGTTTGTGGACTGGTGCCCCACGGGCTTCAAGGTTGGGATCAACTACCAGCCCCCCACCGTGGTGCCTGGGGGCGACCTGGCCAAGGTGCAGCGCGCCGTGTGCATGCTGAGCAACACGACCGCCATCGCCGAGGCCTGGGCCCGCCTGGACCACAAGTTCGACCTGATGTATGCCAAGAGGGCCTTTGTGCACTGGTACGTGGGCGAGGGCATGGAGGAGGGGGAGTTCTCGGAGGCCCGGGAGGATATGGTGGCCCTGGAGAAGGATTACGAGGAGGTAGGCATGGATAGTGTGGAGGGGGAGGGAGAAGAGGAGGGGGATGAATACTAGGGGAATCCCGTGTGTCTATCCTAAATAAAGTGCTGTAGCCTTACCATCTCGCAAGTGTCTTTTTCTCTGGGGAAAATTTGCGGAGCAGGGGTTTCTCCTTCAAGAGAGATAGGAAGGCTGGGATCTTAGCCTAGGTGCCCCAGAAACTAGATCTGGTTCCAGATTTTATTAAAGCGTGCGATTCCAGGAAGCTGAATGGGGATCTGAGAGAGTACCTCAGAGAAGGAGGCAGAATTCACCCCAGAGAAGATGCTGCCGAATAAATGGCATCTCTGAATCAGCCCTTGGGTGAGGGGGCAGGAGAGGAGGTGAGGGTGGGGAAATGTATCCCCTGGCTCCGTTCCTCCACTGCTTAAGCCTTCACCCCGTGACGCAGGAACTCCCCTGCCCTTCCGGGTGGCACCCACGTAGGCTGCAGCATCAACAGGGAACCCCCGGGGCAGGAGGGGAGTGAAGTCGGCCCCAGCCACCCAGGGCTGCAACAGGAGCCTGGCTCTCACACAGGAGGGTCACAAGTGCGCCTCCGAGTAAGTAGTCTGCCAGAGCCGCCAGAGCCGGCACTCATTACCCCCACCCTACAGATCGGAGCTCTGTCTTTTCCAGGCAGGAGGTTTGGGTAGAGGGCCCAGAAGCTGGCATCTAAGGCACAGTGGCAACAACAATGGGGGAAATGGCTGACCTCCCAGAAATCTCCCCCAAAACGCACCACTTTTTGATAACGACAGTTGACCCTCATTTCAATCCCATGCCTTGGGCTATGCAAGCACAGCTTCCAACAAGATGGCTGGCCCTAAAATCGTTATATATGGATTTTCTGTAGCCTCTGCTGGGCTGGAGGGATGAGATGACTTAACCATTGGAGGGATTGAAACTAGGACAATCCCCCCCATCCCCCCACCCCCAAGAGATTTAATGCTCAGCGTTGCCCTCAGCTCTGTCCTTCCTGCGGCTTCCCTTTCCCAGGATTGGAGGCTGGGAAGGCAACCAAAAGGTCAGCAACACCAGGAAGCTGCTAGCAACCCAAAGGGCTGGAGGAGCCAAGGGATGAGATGGTGATGCCAGACCCTTGGAGCTGGGACGCCAGGTGGGAGCTGGAACCACAGCAGAGCTGCCCAGAGGTGGCAGGAGGAGCCAAGGAGGGAGGGATATTCGGCAGGATCCAGAGCCACTGCCTGAGGTGGCCCCTGATTTAGAGAGAGGGGGAGGAAAACCCTGACTTCTTCCTCCCACCCTCAGTCTCCGGCTAGTGGCTCCCACTGTCTGAACCTAGACAGGAGCTAGGTGGCGAGGGGGCCTGGGGACAAGGGGGTGCAGCAAGTGAGATATCCGGAGCAGGGCCAGGAAGGTGGGGGAATGGATCTCAGAGCAAACACATACCCACACCAGGTCTAGCTAGCATTCAGGGCCTGTGGCGGGTCAAACTGGAAAAGGAGTGACTCCTAGTCCCCATCACCTGTCCCTGTCTTGTCCTGATTATTGCTCTGTAGTAAGCAGAGGATGGAGTGAAAGCAGCAGGATGGTGGGGGTGGGGGGGTTAGGGAAGAAAATGGGCATGCCCAGCACAGTAGTTTGCTCCTTCCATTTTGTAATTATGTGCCCAGGGACAGCAAGTATTCTCAACTTCTCTTTGAGGATTGAAGCTTACAGGGGCAGCTCTGTCCTGGGAAGAGAGAGGCCTGCAGTTTTGTGTCCATGTGCGTGTGATGGCGGTGGTGAGAGTAATTTAATTCAGTGGGAGTATGTAGAAACCCGTTTTGGCTGAGGAGTTCAGCTATGCCCTCAAATCCACTTCCTCACCCCACTGAAAGGGCTGACTTTCAAATCTCTATCTGACTCCTGTGTCTTTCTCTCTCTCAGCTGGTTTCAAACTTGGGAAGAGAAGAGGGGTCATTTTGGGAGCCCTTCAAATCCCAAGAAAGATCGTCATTTATTGAGTACCTACTATGTACTAGGCCCTGTGCCCATATTACCTTGTTAAATCCTGAGGTAAATACAGTTAGACCCACTGGACTGGAAGCTTCATGGGAACAAGGCTTGTCTACTCTCCGCACCTAGAATGTCGCTGGCTGAACATATTAGGCAACATGTGTGTTGAATATTTGTTGAATAGACTTGCTAAATGAATGCCTCTTTTACAGATGTGGAGACTGAGGCTCGGAGAAGTTATGGCACTTGCCCAAAGTTACTCAGTTATAAATGGAGCAATTGGGATTCCAACCCAGGTCAGCCTGGACAGAAGCTTCTGCTGCTGTCCTCCCTTCCCTCAGATGCCCTTCCCACGCCTGCCACAGTGGCTCCAGGCATCCCTCCAGACACCACGTCTCTGAACCTGCCAGGTCTCTAATGCCCAGACAGTGACTCAGCTACCTCAAAGGCAAGGAGGGAGTGACGCTTGACACTCCTTTGCCCAGGCGCTGTGGTGGAGGGCACGTGGGGGGCGTGGGAGGGCAGATACACAGCTTCTGGGACTGAATGAGGGCAGAAGCATCTTTGAGGCCAGGTTTGGGGGCTATCAGTGCCCTCTGGAAAGGGCTCCCAGTCCGAACATCTCATAGGAGGTGAGGTAAGGGCTTGGGAGAGGCCAGAAGGATGTGAGGTCTTCACCTGTCAGGATGCCTGGGCATCCAGAGAGGGGGCCAGGAGCCCCTCCTGTCTGCGGCACCAGCACGCCCGCCCGCCCTGGGCAGCTGTGTGGCCATCTCCTCTCAAACCCTGCAAGGCCTTCCCAGCTAGTAACTCTGCTGACAGGCACTGGCAGGCCTCAGTTGCGCTAAGTGTGGGTGTGGGGAGGTGGCAACCCAGCCCTCCATGGGGCAGCCAGGAGCGCCACCCATTCTGCCTCCTGGGGACTCCCTCAATGCAGGGAATGCTTTCATCCCCGATGCTTCTAAAGCCAGAGTACAATTACCTCCTGCAGGCAGACACAAGAGACAGATTCCCAACTTGGATTCCACCCAACACATTTATTCCTTCATCTCTGGTGTGTCAGGAACATGCCTGCCTCCAAAACTGTGTTCGTACCATTCCCTCCTTCTGGAACGCCACCTCCCCCTGCTTGTCTCAGTGTTGCCATTCCTTCCAGCTTAGGTCACAGTCACCCAGAACCATCCAGCCCTGGGAAGCTCCCCGCTCGAGATTCTCCCAGCAACTCCTGTCTGTCTCTATCACTCATTCAGCACTTGGCATGGACTGCCTTGTATGGTGGCACTCAGGTTCTTGCCAATATCTTATTTCTCCAACTAGATGTTAAAAAATTCTGTATATAGTCGAACAGTTATTTTGTGAACATGCTTCCAAATTGAAAAGGTACAAAAGAGATTTCCAAGCAGCAAAAATAAGTCTATAAGTGAAAGGAAGTCCCCTTCTTTTGTTCCGCTCTTGACAGCCTCCACTATTAACATTTTTGTTCTTGTTTCTTTCCAGAGACATCTACATATATATTAATGTGTATACAGTAGTCCCCCTTGATCCATGGGGGATATGTTCAAGGCCCCCATGGATGCCTGAAACCATGGATAGTACTAGACTCCGTATATACTATGTCTTTTGCTATACACGCATCCCTATGATAAATTTACTTTGTAAATTAGGCACAATAAGAAACTAACAAAAACAATAAAATAAAAATATATACAGTAATAATATACTGTAAAAAAAGTTATGCGAAAGTGGTCTCTCTCAAAATATCTCATGCTGTACTCCCCTCCTTCTTGTGATGATGTGAGATGCTAAAATACCTACATGATGAGACAAAGTGAGGTGAATGACGTAGGTATTGCAATGTAGTGGTTGGTTACTTCCGACTTTCTGATGATACATCAGAAGGAGGATTATCTGCTTCCAGACTGTGGTTGACCGCAGATAACTGAAACCGTGGATAAGGGGGACGACTGTACACACACTTCGATACACTTTGTTTTACCCTCGTTTTTTCATTTAACAAAAAATCCGGAAGATGGTCCTTATCAGTACATAAAGATATGCCTCATTCTTTTTGGTAACAATGTACTATTCCATTGGATAGTGTACCCTAGTTTATTTCACCAGTCTGCTGTTAGTGAGTATTTAGGTTTCTAATTCTTTGCTTTGGAAACAAATTCTGGAACCCTTGTACATACTTCTTTGCCCATGTGTACAACCAAAAACTCTTAGAATCAGAACTGCTGGGTCAAAGGCTACGCACCTTTAACTTTGATATGCACCATATTGCTCTCCCACTGTTAGTGTACTAGCATGCCTGTGCCCACAGCCTTGCCCACACAATGTATACAATTTTTTGATCTTTGTCAATCATCTGATAAGTGAAACAAAGTATTTTATTGCAGCTTTCCTTTATAATTCTCTTGCTGTGAATAAGATCGAGCATCTTTTCATATGTTTAAAAATCAGCATCTTCTCTTCTGTAAACTGTCTTGTCTGTGCCTTTTGCCCATGTAAAAAACTGCATTGTTGGTCCTTTCTTGCGAACAAAGGAAATTAACACTTTGTTTGCCACATGTGTTCAATATAATTTCCCTCAGCTGTCATTTGTCAATGTCCCAACTAGATTTTTATCACCTTGAGTACAAGGACTGGAACTTAAACCCCTTTGTATTCCCAATTCTTAATATAATATCACATACACAGTAGGTGCCAGACAAATGTCTGTTGAGATAAGAGAAGTAAGAAGAAAGAGATTTGGAAGATTTTGGAGTGACCTACCCTATTTCCTCCTCTTATACTAAGGCCAGTCAGGATTCTCACTGTAAACAGCAGAAGTTAGCTCTGGCAAGTTAAAACAAAGAAAAAAGACACCCCTCCCCCCCTTCCCGCATACACACACACATTGGAGAGACACTGGGTAGCACACAGAATTAATATGAGGGCTGCCAGATGAGACTCCGCAAACAGGTAGGCATCAAGGGAAGCTGAGCATCCAGCACCCTAGTCAAGGTCAGGGCACAGGACAGCCTGCCTAAAAGACCCCGGTTCCCTACAGAACAGGGGGCTGCAATGAGGCT